TGCCCCCCGCGTGCGGTGTTTCCGAGCAGACCGGGGAGACGGGGAGCAAAGCGGGGCAAAGCTGCAGAGCACGCCGGCAGCGGGACAGCCGCGGTGCGTCTGGGCTGTCCGCTGCCCGCGTGCTCTGCGGCTTTGCTCCCTGTCTCCCTGGTCTGCTGGTCTCCAGCAGACCAGGGAGACGAGCAGCAAACCCCGTTTGTAACTGCGGATCCGACATAAATCGGATCCGCATAACTCGGGGACTGCCTGTTCAAAGTTGTTGCTATCTCTATGCTGTTCCATTAGCTACAATGCAGTCTGCACATTTAAATTGTCAACCAGAATCACAGTTATGCTTTTGCTTTTATTAGAATGGATTGTTGGCTTTTTCTGAATGAATGCCTTAATCTGTTTTTGTAGGGCTGTTAAGTGATTACAAAACTTAATTGTATTAACCACATCATTGATCATGCTGTTAATAATAGAATACCTTTTATTTTTAAATATTTGGGGTCTTTTCTACATTTTCAAATATATTGATTTCAACCCAGATTACTCACTTTGTTTTTTATCACAAATATTTGCATTGTAAGAAACAAAAGAAAATAGTTTTCAATTTTTCCATTACAAGTACCATAGTACATTCTTTTAATCATGAAAGTTGAACTTTCAGATGTAGTAACAATGTAGTGCCTGCAAGTCTAATCAGTTATACTTCTTCATCCAGTCACTCAAGCAAACTGTAACCCACCTTGTTCACAGGAGATAATGCTGCCTACATTTTGTTTAGAAAGTCACCTGAAAGTGAGAACAGGCATTTGCATGGCACTTCTGTAACTAGCATTGCAAAATATTTATGTGCCAGCTTCTAAAAAGATTCATATATCCATTTATGCTTCAACTACCATTTTATTTATATTATTTTTATTACAAATATTTGCACTGTAAAAAAGATAAACGTGCTGATGATGCATGTTCATTTTCATCATCTGTGTCATATGCCACCAATAGAAGGTGGTTCTGGTTCTGTAATTTCTGCATGTTCTGCACTTCATCCCACTCAGATTTTGGAAAGCACTTCAAATTCTTAAACCTTGAGTCGAATACTATAGCTACTTTTTGAAATCTCATTCCTTGTATTCTGTCAAATCTGCAGTGAAAGTGTACTTAAAATGAACAAAATGTGCTGGATCATCATTTGAGACAACCATAACAAAATATAATGTGGGTAAAACCACAGAGCAGGAGACATACATTTTGCCCCCACGGAGTTTAGTCACAAATTTAATGAATCATTCTTTTCAACAAGCATCATCAGAATGGAAGCTTGTCCCTCTGGAATGATTGCTGAAGCATGAAAAGGCATATGAATGTTTAGCATATGTGGCATGTGAATACCTTGCAGCGCTGGCTATGAAAGTGCCATGTAAATGCTTGCTCTCATTTTCAGGTAACATTGTAAATAAGAAGCAGGCCCCGTTATTGCCTGTATATGTAAAGAAATTTGTTAGCCCTAATTCTTGTTTATCCAGTCGCTAAGACAGAGTGGACTTGTAGGCACTACAGTTTCACAGTATTTTGTTTTCAAGTGCAGTTATGGAAGGAAACAAATGTATGTTTGTAAGTTGCACTTTCAAAATAAAGAGATTGTACTATAGTACTTGCATTTGGGAAAAAAGAAAAATGCTGTTTCTTTTATTTACTTTATAGAGCAAATATTTGTAATAAAAATGACAAAGTGAGCACTGTACACTTTGTATTCTGTATAGAAATTGAAATCAATATATTTGACAATGTAGGAAAACAACCAAAAATATTTATAATAAATTTAAATTTGTATTTTATTACTATTTAATAGTGTAGTTAACAGCAATTAATTGTGATTAATGTTGTTAAGAGTTAATATTTTCAGTTAATTTATTGAGTGGGTTGCAATTGACAGCCCTATTTTAGAATGAGGATATTAATCCAGACTACTACATTCTACCATACATTCTACCATACTTGTTCTCATACTCATACTTTGAATAAATCTCTAAATGTACTACTATGTACTAAATGTAGTACTATGTGTAGTGCAAATCTTACATACTGTAGGAAACCTTAGATACCAGAAATAAACTCAGCTATTTGCCCGAGTACATATATAGGCCAGCAGGGAAAAAAAAAGGCTGATATGTTCTACTGACACAATTAAGAATTAGACTGTGCATTTAGATTGCCACAAAATCAAATTTATCCAATTTGCAGTGGCCACACAGTTGTCACATTAGTACATTTAGCTTAATTACTGTCTTAAGTATCAAGCAGCAGAAAAATATAAATATAATTATATTAGCCAGTCAGTTTTTCCACTTTGTAATTGTAATAACTTGCCTGAGTATTGTGTGTTTCAGCTCCACCACAGGTTTGATAGAAAATCGTCCTCAATCACCAGTAACAGGCAGGACCCCAGTGTTTGTGAGCCCCACACCCCCTCCTCCTCCACCTCCTCCTCTTCCATCTGCTTTGTCAACTTCTTCCCTGAGAGCTGCAATGACTTCCACTCCTCCCCCACCCATACCACCACCACCACCACCTCCAGCAGCTGTTTTGCAAGCACCAGCAGTGCCACCTCCACCAGCTCCTCTCCAGATTGCTCCTGGAGTTCTTCATCCAGCTCCTCCTCCAATTGCACCACCTCTGGCACAGCCTTCTCCTCCAGCCACTAGAGCTGCCCAAGTATGTGAAACTGTACCAGTTCAGCCAGTTCCACAAGGTGAAATGCAAGGACTTCCTCCACCCCCACCACCCCCTCCATTACCTCCACCTGGCATTCGACCCTCATCTCCTGTCACAGTTGCAGCCCTCTCACACCCTCCTGCAGCTATTGTTCCTGGTCCTCATGCTCCACTAATGCCTCCATCTCCACCATCTCAAGTGATTCCTGCTCCTGAACCCAAACGTCACCCATCAACTCTACCTGTAATCAGTGATGCCAGAAGCGTTCTACTGGAAGCAATACGAAAAGGTAACTTTTGGCCACTAAAAGAACAACAGAAGTTGGTCACAGCAGTTTAATCAATCTAATGTATGTTTAACAGATGGAATAATTTACACTTCTGGAAAAAGATTTGAAAAGAATATTTTAAATCTTGTCCTGCTGTACATTATGCAGCTTGCCAAATAGACAGATTATATTCAACTCATAATTGCACATATTAAGAGTGTAGTTAGAATGCAAAAACCAGTTCTTCATAAAAGTTAGCTAAGGGAAATGTATATATTTAGAAATTATATCCATAAATTTTATTTCTAAATATCTGATGAGTATCTTCTGGTAAATTTGTTCCAAATTGTGTGCAGAGCAAAAATGTTGTCAAGAATATTTTAAGAGCAGAGCAGACAGACTGGCTTATGGGTTTTGATCTTGTTTTTATGTAAGCATCTCTCACACACATTACTGCAGTGCAGGAAGAACAATGTGTAAGGTTTTTGTAAAGATTAAATCAGTAAGGGGTTGTTTTTGTTTTTTAACCCAGAGTGGCCTTGTGGAACAGTGGGTACCATCTTGCCAGTGTAAGGCAGGAGACCAAAGATGGGGGGAACCTTCTGTGGTAGCACTTTACTGGTGCTCTCTTATCTTGCATCTGCTTCATGTCAAAACATATGCACTGGTGGTTTAACCCTTAGGACTGTGGGGTGCTGGTGCATAGTTATAGGATCTCTTCTACTACTGCCATGCCACTTCCCCTAGCTTTTCTCTAGTACCAATAAATAGATTGAAATGACAATTAAGAACAGATATAGAACACCTATATCTAATAAGTAGCATACATTCTCTAAAAGGAAATCATTTCTCTTTAATCCATTAGAATTACTTGAGCATGTCAGCAAAAAGGCATATAAGAGGAGCCCACTGGCATAATTCTTTTTAGGATCTAAAAGCTTTTGTCACATCCCACAGAAGGCACTATTAAGGAAACTAAGTAACCCCACAGGATGTAAAATAGAGTCACAGATTAAAATCTGGCTAAGAGATTAAAAAAAAAAAAGGAATAAAAATAGATTTGTAAACTTTTGCCCTTTGAAGATTGACCAAGTGTTTAAAAGCTCCCTACTAGGATCTGTATTGTTAAATATTGTTGAGGCACCAGTCAGAACTTCATAGTTGGAGGAGTTCCATTTTGCATTGAAAGCAGGGATTCAGCCTCCCATTTAATTATGAAAAATAAGAACAATAACATTTATTCTTTGAATATAGTATTATTTTTTTGAAATTAAGCAGTTAATTAGTTTGCATTAAAATGAGTTTAAAACATGTTACATGGTCAGTCTTTTCTAGGCCCAAATGATTTTAATAGGTTTGTGAACTCAAATTTCTTTAGTTAAAATTCATTGAAATATATTGTACATCTGCTATATGAGAGAGTCTGTCTGTGTGTCTGTTCAAGAACTCCCCCTAAAAGGTAAGAGCTAAGACCGCCAAATTCAGTATATAGCATCCTCTTATAATTTAAAAACAAGTAAGGGTTTGAGTGTGCCAGGAAAATAAGAGTGCCAGCAATAGGATTACTTCTCATAACATCATATATGAGAGAGGCAGAATCACCAGGCAGTTGAAAGGGGCAGGCTGGGGGAGAACTACTCCCCACTGGGGTTGCCCTAGCTCTGTGCCACCCACCCACAAAATGCCCTTTAGCCTGAAGCTTCCCCCTCCCAATTCGTACAGGAACAGAACATTGTTGGCTGTTCCCCTTTGTCAGGGAGTGAGAGGAAAGTGCAGAGTTTGCTGCATTCCTCACTCTGGATGGGGAGTGCAGAGGGCAGATAAACCTGATCCTGTCCCAGTCAGGAGACAGGCACCCCTCCCTGGCTGTATCCGCTAGAGCTGCAGCAGTCATGGAGAGGTGCTTTTTGCCTGGACCCAAGCTGCTACATGAGAGGACTCAGGTAGTCCTCTTTCCCCAGAGGAGCCTGCATACCAAACCTCTTCTCCCCAGCCCTACCCTAGAGCTGTGATTTAAATTAAGCATGTGCATTTTCATTTTATTTTCCAAAAATAAAAAAATTGAGTTAAGGACCTGAGCAATGCTGGGTAAATCCTCTAATATACTGTAAACTTGGAAACAATTAGACTGTAATTAAATGATATCATTAATGACAATTACAATTATACAGGTTGAGCTTCCCTGATCCAGCGTGCTCAATACTTTATGGGTCCTGAATCAGGAAATTTGACAGACCAGGGCGGTCAATGACAGGGCTGTTTCCGCAAGCTACCAGGGCTCCACTTCTTGGATCTGAGCCTGGCCTCCACAATTCTGCTCTCCTGGTCCACCAGAACCCCACTATCAGCCCCTGACCAGCCAAGGCTCTGTGGCTCTGCTTCTGTACCCACCGGGACTCTGCTCCCTGGCACTGAGGGCGCGGAGGCTCGGCTCTTCCCTGATGTGAAAACACACACTGTTTTTTCCTCCCCATGACTGTTCTAGCCTCAGACTATCCATGGGGTCACTGATGATGCTGTGGAATGGTGGCCAAAGTATGAAGGGGCATACCAATGTTTAGCATATTTGACTTGTAAATACTTTGCATGGGACTTTTGCAGATGATATAGAAAACACCAGTTCTCACTTTCAGGTGATATTTTAAATAAGAAGCAGACAGTATCCTTTCCCATTAATGTACTTATTTAAATGTCTTAGCAATTGGCTGAACAAAAAGGAGCACTGAGTGGACTTGTAGGCTCTAAAGTTTTACATTGTTTTCTTTAAAGCAGTTATGTAATAAAAAATATACATTTGTAAGTTACACTTTCACAATAAAGAGATTGCACTACAGTACTTCTATGAGGTGAATTAAATATACTATTTTCATTACAATTGTACAGTTCATATATCTAAAATATAAACTGAGCTCTGTACATTTTATATTCTCTGTTGTAAAATAAATCAATATATTTTAAAACGAAGAAAGACATACAAAATATTATAAATTGTCATTGATATTCAACTGTTTAACAGTGCAATTATTCAGGATTAATTTTTCTGAGTTGACAATGTGAGTTAACTGCGATTAACTGATAGTCCTTGTTTAATTTAATCTGGGAACATAGACACTTAAATATTTCAATCACAATCATATAATTTATTGTATGGGTCACTGCAGAGTTAATGTTTTTAGAGGTTTTATTTTCCCTCTTGAAACGTCTGCTGCCAGCAGCTTTCAGAGGCAGGACTTTATACTAGATGGAGTTCTGATCTAGTACCACAATTCCTATTCTTATGATAATTACTTATCTAATAGGTAGTTCTCAGTCAATTTATTTTTGTTTGCTAAGCAATTTGAGAGCTGTGGGTAAAAGTATTTTTCATGAGAACAAAGAACTGATATTATGTTTGTGGTTTAGGTATTCAGCTACGCAAAGTCGAAGAACAGCGTGAACAAGAAGCTAAACATGAGCGCATTGAGAATGATGTTGCCACTATATTGTCTCGTCGCATTGCTGTGGAATACAGTGATTCAGAAGATGATTCAGAGTTTGATGAAGTGGATTGGTTGGAGTAAAATAGATACATTGCTATACACTGAATGCTAATGTTCATTGTGGTGATTGTTCTTTGAAAACATTTGATGGTCATTTCTAGTGTTTTTTGTATTTTTTCCTTTACACTACACATCATTAATCTATGTTTTTCTACTTTTCAGTTTACAAGAAAACTACTATGTTTGAAACTAAATGTTTTACAGTGGCTTTTCTTTTTTTCCTCTCTATTTTTCTCCCAAAAGAACATATTTTGTTCCAATAGACCACTAAGTATTAAGCATGGGCAGCTGTTGGTAGAGTAGCGGTTTTAATTTTTTGGCATATCTTAAACTGTGCACTTTGTGAATTTTAAGTTAATGAAGGCAACTGAGATTGAAATTCCGAGGGCAGCTGTGTGTACTAATGAGCCTTATTCCATTTTTGATAAATGTTTTTTAAAACCTAGCTATCAAGATACGCATCTGTACACCAGGAAGGTACATATTGTTAGCAACACTGAATACAATGTAAGGAAAAAAGGATCTTTGGGGACTTATTGTTTTATTGTTGTTTTTTAAATAATTATGGCCTTATTTGAATGTTTAGAGGTTTTCCCCTCCCAGGTACATATCGTGTGGTACTATTTTGCCTGCATACAAAAGTTGAAATTTTTTCTGTGTGAAATCTTCTGACAAACATGATGTGTAACTTATGTAACTGTTAAAAATAACAGTTGGGTTTAATAAATGGTAAATGTTCATAGATTTTTTTTTTTTTTTAAAAAGCAACAAGTCACCACTTTTCTGGCATTACTTAGTAGCTGAAGGGTAAGATTTTCAAAAGTGCCTAAATCATTTAGTCTTTTTTTTTTTTAAATGATTATACAGAAGCTTCCAAGTAACTTAGATACTTTTGAAAATTTTACCCATGGTATGTATGGGGGGCAATAATCAGAATTAATATGTTCCATCAGAGAGAAACTTGTGAAACAAGAGAGACAGAACTAGATGATATTGCAAAATCATCTCATGCTGCTAATTTATACTGCATGTCAGCCACACACACACACACACACACACAGCGCCAATGAAATTTTGGACTGAATTCAGAGTTCAAGTAGCTGTAACCATGTATTCCACTTCGGTGTGTGCATGCTCAGTGCGCTGGAGCCATGGATATTACAAGGGAAAATTCTTTAAGAGGGATAGCTCTTGCAGCTTCTGACCACAGGGCTGTCCCTCGAGGAGTGCAAGCTCTGGGGCAACTCTCCGACCCCAGGCCTCCACACCTGCCCCCAACTCTTCCAACCCCTGCTCCTGGTTATGAGAGGTGGTGCTGCCCTGACCTCCCTCAGTTCTCTTAACACCTAGCCTACAGCTACACTACAAACTTTTTCCAGAAGAGAAAATGCAAGAGGGGTGCTCATTTGCATATTCTCTTCCAATCCTTTTTGCGGATGAGGTTTTTGCGCAAAAAAGTGCTGTGTAGACTGCAGCTGTGTGTGCAAAAACCCCCTTTTGCACAAGATCCCCTCTCAAAAAAAGGGGGGGGCTGAGCAAAAAAGCACCATCTACACAGCACTTTCGTGCAAAACCTCTTCGCAAAAAGGATTGGAAGAGAATATGCAAATGAGCACTCAATTTGCATTTTCTTGTCTGTAAAAAGTTTGCAGTGTTGCCGTAGCCCTAAAGTTGGAGTTCAGTGGTTTGTAACCTTTCAAACTGTTTCTTAGCAACTAGTTATATATAGTTAGTTAGTACCCGTGGCACAGAGTTAGTTAGATTTAGTGTTAACTTCAAGTATTCCCCTGATGGAGCATTCCCCACACATATTGCTTACTGTGCTAAGCCAAAGCTCACTTCAAGGTGCAATATTTGATTTACAAATCATTCATGAAATAGGTTGAGATCTTTGGCTAAAGCAAAGCCTGCTTGAACAGGTCACGCAGCCTGCTTCAGCACCAATGCCTATGCTAGCCTAAGCACCACCTGCTCCTTGCAAAATGGAGGCAGGATGAGAGGAGACTTTGCGCACTCTCAGGCCCTGATTGGCCTGGGAGTAGGGAGAGCAGCAGGGCCTCGGCAGGCCAGATCAACTCTCTCTGTAGGATGCATCTGGCCTGCAGAGGCCCTTTTGCCCACCCCCACTATAGGAGAATATCCATACATTGTTGGATATCCTGCAAGCATAGCCTTTGGGGTGTGGCCCTCTATTACTCATGCTCTTCTAGAGCCTTCCAAGATTCTCTGAAGCATGCTGGCTTTAGTACTGCTTCCTGTGAAGCACAGAAAAATGGCACTGTGTGTCGGTGCTGGGATTTGAGGATTGTTACTCACGTCTGGCCCCACACTCTACAGTCATAACTGTGTGAACAATAGAGCCTGGCAGGGCAGAGTTAATCCACTTCCAAGAATAAGGAGCTAACTGGAAGGAAAAAGGGCAGGAAGATTTCCTCTTCCCTTCCTAACCTGCAGCCATTCCTGTCCAAATATAGCTTCATGAACTGGATGTCACTGTTTAAGTTTGTGGCCCAACTGCCAAAGCTTTGAGGGAGTAATTTTATGCACTTCTTAGCTTCCAAGCAGCTTTCAAGAAGAATTTGTTGCTGTCTATGCTGGACATTGTCAATTCTTCAGTTACAGTCATGCCCTTAGCAACGACTTTGAGGAGGGTGTTGTGGAACTGAGGCATTGCTCCCCATATGCCACATGCCAGTAGTGACCTGTCAATACAGGCGACCTAGGTGATCACCTAGGGCACCAAGATAAATGGCCATTGAGGGCTTTGGAGGCAGGGGCGTCAATCGTGTGTTTCGCCTAGGGCGCCAGTTGCTGGCAGCTTCTCTAGGGCTGCTCCTGCCACAGGCTATAGTGGATTTGCCCTTTGACAACTCAGTCATTTTTTTTTGGACAAGACGGATGAGATTTCACACTCCTTCAAGTACTATAAGGCTATCCTATGGCCCTTGGAGTACTTATGTTAGCAATGCAGAGGTGTCATGATAGTGGTCAAACAGCAGCAGCGGCCGCTGCCATAGTGCACATTTTGGGCAGCTTCTCCCTCACAAGACAATGGGACTACCTCAGAAAGGGGCATAGGCAGCATTCCCTGTAAGCTGCGTGCTGGTGCAGCCACCCAGGAGATATTTTCAAATGCCACCCAGTTGACAAGCAGAGATGCATTGCTAGAGGTTTTTTTGTTTCTATTGGTGCACATCCATACATGCCTCAGTGCACATAAAACGGTATTCTGCACCTGGATGGAAAAAATCCACCTGTGGATGGAAAAGATTAGAGGGAATTTTGGGCAGAGGTCCCGGAGGAGGAACCATTTAGGTCTGGGGTTTGGACAGCTGACATGCCTTCCCTGGCACTCCTCAAGCACCTAATTTGACTTCTTGGCCTGAAGCCATGTTCTCATCATCACTCACTTCTTCCCATCCCCTATATCTGGGGATAGGCTGACTCACTCTTACAATGCTTGGGGCTTCCTCTGCAGGTGCAAGCTCATTTTCTTCTCAGACCAGCATGAGTCAGAGAACAACCCCACAAACCTCAGACCAATATTCCACAAATGGTGAAACACCCAGAGCAACCTATTTGCAAAGGTCCCCAATTTTGCTCCAGTGCAGGTTTGGAAGTAAGGTTATGGGGGGGATGCCTTCCTTAACATATGGGGTATTCGAGTGCTGAAAAAATTTCTGTATTGCCAGCTAGTGCTATGTGATTAAACCGTGAGACTGGAGTCCACTTTTTTTTTTTAAATAAGAAAAAAAATGACACTCTTGTCCTGCAAAGCTCAGGTACAGGAATATTTCAGAGGCAGCTTTCAGATGACAGCATGAAGCATGACAGCATGTGCCTTGAATAGCAGGCTCCCTGAGAAATAATAAGCACAATCAGACATGATCCTCAGGGACGTATCTTAATTTGTCTCCATTTTGCCATTTGGCTTCATTTACTTTGCCTGTGATAAGTACAAAAGAAAAGGCCCTGGGCTGGATTTCACAGGTTGCATTTATCAGTGCACTCTGAAAACAAAGTATTTGTAAAACCATTCCAGACAAATCCTAAAGGGAGAGAAATGGAAGCAGGGTTATGAAAAGCAGTAGCCCCAACTACCACATGAATTTGAGCCAAGTTTAAGGAGGCCCAACTCTTCCAGGGGTGAATTTAGACCCAACCATTTCAATAAAAACACAAAGAAATCAGTACAGAAAATTAAAGCAAAGCAGGCTGAGGATACAACTGCTATCTGTAATTTTTTTTTTAAATTTTGACTGAGTGGCAAATGAGCCCTAACAGTTTGCTTAGTAAAAGTCTGAAACTGCTCTTATGGTGGCAAGAATAATATGCATCAGATGTCCCAAATAGACAGGAGGAAGCCAAGCTTTAAGAGATGTGTTCACCTCCCCCCTTTTGATTTCCCTGATGTGGGACTCTGAGAAGTAAGGGTATCTTGTCATCTGAAAGATACTAAATGAAATAAATTAGACGTGGGAGAGTAGACAGTCTCTACTAACCTGTGTCCATTATCTGACTGTCTTAATTAAAATTACACACTTCCAAGATGGTGGCCAAGGCAGTTTAAGTGTTAATATAACTTGACAAACACCAGCTAAGGATCCAGGATGGAGTAAAGTCAAGAGTTAAATTCAGCAAAAGATTTCAGAACAATACACCTGGTTTTCTACCATAGATTCAGCTCTTTGCCATAGCAACAAGCCTGCAGCTAGCTACAATCCTAATTTTGCAACACTTATTAGAGGAAATTATTGAATTTAAGTCTTTGAATCCATATATACACTCACATAAAAGTACTTGTATGTGGTCTTTGGGGGCGGCTAATTCCTTGAAGGGCTGATCAGCTGTTTATGCTAATGATGTACTAGATGATTGATTGATTGAGTTGTATGATAATGTACTAAGCTGCTCCTGGATTCTGTCTACTTCGGTACACTTACAATATCTTGTTAAACACAAATACTCTGAGGTAGAAAATACCAAGGCATTATATGGTTTGATATTTAGTAAAAGGGGAAAGCAGTCTTCTCTTAAGCTTCAGAGACCCACCACCTTGTTGAATTGTAAACAAATTGTCAAAATGAATCTTCCTCCCCTAATGGAAAGGCAAAGAAAGGGAGTGAAAACACAAAGAAATAGAAGAAAAATGTAAATCATAACAGGGCATAAACACACTGGACGGAAAGAGAGAAAT